TTTACTCAATGGTAAAAAGCATACTGGAGGAAGCCAGTTAAATGTGCTGACCATGACACGTTTTCAAATTACACATTACTGTTTTTTTATTGAACACATTATAATATTAAAATCGGAATAATGACACACTCGTAGCTCTAAATATTACAGACTGACGATCGTGTGAACTCGCACGTCCGCTCACATATACTATGCTGAGTGAGCATAACCGTGCGGCACGTGCAGGGGTTCACAACAACGCGCCACTGTACATTCGTTTTATTATATAAAAGATTTTGGTATCCTATTATCTACAACGTCAACCAAGGTTTAAACCAAGGTTGGTATGCTATACAGCCACGTAAACAACATTTGCCCATGCTGAAGAAGAAGGTCCAACTTCTCCCACCACACAAACATTGATACGCCACCTAGCGATTGTTTGCCGAGCGGCGCATCCATGCTCTAAACACGTTTTTGATACACTGCGTTATAGATACGGTACTTATGGCGCAATCGCTTTTCGTAAAAACTCCACATTTTGGTGAAGCATCAACAACTTTACTATTTTAACCACATCTCAGTGTTCAGTGACAAACGCCATTAGCGTTTTTTTTTAAAACGGTGAGTATGGAAGTACGCATATCGTTTGTTATGCATAACTAACTGTTACGCCTTTGTTACGTCATCTGTTAGCCATCGGCGGGTCCTGAGTGATTTAATTGAAGTCGGAAAATTGTAATCAAGTACTGTTAGATCAGCAATCAAAAAAAGATTTTGTCATTAAAGCAATCAGGTTTGTCGGAAAAAGAGACAAATAGGAAACCAAGAGGACTGCAAAACTATTTATCATAAACATGGCGCCGACTACTAGGAGAGGTGAGTAACCATGCAGTGTCCACATTACGCGGGTTTTTACTTTCGGCACTCACAATTCTTGGATGTTCCAGTCTTGAACTCTGAACATTTTATATTTTCTTTACTTTGTTTAATAAAACATCATATTTAATCGGCGATCAGTTGTTGTCCGCTTTTCATTCGACTTGTACAAACTACAAAGGCACGCTCATGCGCACCAGTTACTAACCAGGATACAACTAAATTTTGAACCTAGTATAAGCAATAGGTACCTACTTGGTTTTGTTACTTAACGATATGAAATAAAAAAAAAAATCTAAAAAAAACAAATTTTAAACTTAGGTATCAATGGTACCAGTAAACCCCGAATTCCATAGATATATTATTGTATTAATATATAAATAACTGTATAGTAGTATTGTGTACACAGTATTTTTGTATGTGTCTTGAAAAGCATAGTCGAGTTTTTTATTGTTACTACCATTGAATACACTACAAATTACAATACTAAATAGTTGTGAGGGAGTACAATTTACTAAAAGTGTATTTATTAGAATGTTTTAGGATACTTTATTTAATACTTCTTAAACACTCTAATAGGTACTTACTACAATACTGAGTAATACCTACAATTACTATCTATTTTTTAAATTGCAAATTGATGAAAAAATATGATTTTGACAGGCACTAAACTGGCATACAATAAGAAAGTAGAGCTTATAGATGGCGAAAAAGCATGTATGCTATGTGGTCACAAGGAAACCTCTGAAATATTATACGGCAAACTATATCAGCTGAATGATGTTATCGTTCATAATTTTTGTTTGGTAAATAGATTTCAAATTTTAATTGGTATAAAAGTATATTATTAGTAGAATATTACTACATAATTTATTCAGGTACTATCACCAAGGGCCTTTAAAAATGGTACAGACGAAGAGGGTATTCATGGATTTTTATCAAACGATATTAAAGATGAACTAACCCGAGGATCTAGAGAAGTATGATTTTCCTAAATTATGCTACGTGTAATAAATAGTTGCAAAATAATTATTGTGGTTTTAGACTTGTGTTTACTGCAAAAAAAAAGGTGCAACCATATCATGTTTTGATGTGAATTGTCAAAAAGTGTTTCATCTTCCTTGTGGATTGAGCAAAGGATCTATGCATCAATATTTTGGGACATTTAAGTGAGTGCTTAATTTTATAGTTGTTTTACTCTCTTGTATATAATTATTTTTTGAAAAAAAATATTTTTAGATCGTTTTGCAAACAGCATCGTATCCTGCCAGTTATACCTGCTCTAGCTACTATAGAATGTCGTATATGTAATGATTCTATTATACAATCTACTTTGTCAAATTCCATTTGGGCACCGTGTTGCAAACCTAATAATTGCTTTCACCGAGAATGTGTTCAAGATCTGGTATTACGAAAAGGCTACTTCATAGAATGCCCAATATGCAAAAATATTGAAATATTCAAATACAGTATCCTCACTCTTGGAATATACATACCATCAAGGTAAAACTAAGTTTTATTTATCATATTTTTATATGTTTTCTGTTTGAACAAAACTATATGCGTACAAATATACCTAAATGAAATGTAAAAAGTATTCGAAAGACGTTTTTTGGTACCTATACAATTATAAACTATTTAATATTTAATTTTCATATAAGAAGAATTAATTTTAATATAAGTTCTTGGCTTCAAACAAAAATTAATCGGACAAATTTTTTTATTAGAGTGATCCAAAAAATTATGCTCGAGTATATGAAACGAAGTGTTTTCATCCAATAGAAAAAGGCATACAAATTACGATTACAAAAAAAAAACATTTAAATTTTGAGTATAAATTTTCAAGATAATTATGTGTAGTTATTTAAACCAATACTTTATATAAATTAGGTATTAATCAAGAGTTAATGTAAAATTATAAAAATTACTTAATTAACTATTTAGTAAATAGGTACTTAACAAATAGTTCTTAACTATCCTTCTATAATAGATATATACCTAAATGTATTGTAAATAAACAATTTTATTTCTAATATAAATATGCATACAAATATAGTTTTCATATTTTATACGGTTGATTTAAACATTTAAATACAGGTACTCGACTTTAAGAAGAGGAATTGTACCGAACGGTATTGAAGAGCTCGTAAATAGGAAAATTAAATGTAATGCTGAAAACTGTTTATGTCCTTATAGCAATGGAGAGAAGTATCAAGATGAATAGTAAGTAATAAGTTTTAAGGGTAAACGGAAAAATAACACATTACCTTAACGCCTAAAACTTAAAAAATAAAAATAAAAACTTTACAAGACAAACTACACAACAAATGTGAGAGTTATTTATATAAAGAAATTAAAACGGGATCATTTTTAAATAATATAACAAAGTGTATGAAATAGTTATTATTGATCATACATTTTATATTTTATATTTATTTTAAACAGGTACTTGCTACTTTGTATGTAGTACATGGGTACTTATTTGTGTTTTTTGTTCATTTTGATTGATTGCTAACATTTTATTTTCATTTTTAACATATTATTCAAATTTAACTTGTTTACGATAGTGATTGATCAAAACTATATAAACACTGTAAATATTTTAGGACCATTGWAAATTAGGGCGAAGCATGTTTGGGTACATAACATTATTTTTACCTGTAAATGTAGAACACGTTTGGGTACACAAACACATAGCACGTTTAGGTACATWYGCTAATTGCCAWTATAGGTTATCGCGAAAAAAAAGTTTAACAATCTTTATAAGATATGGTTTATGAAAATAACTAAATGTTTCAACGTTTCAATGTTCAGTTCCAATTT